CTCTTATTACATGTGAAAAGTTTATGATAAAAACAACATTAGAGATAATCCATCGAAACGCAGGCAGAACTTCGCAGTGACTAAATGGAGTACAACATGAGCTAACCTTTCAAAAGCAGAATAACGTGCGCCGCAGTAAAAATAGAAGTTGCCGTGAGTTGTTTGAATCTTGTCCGAATAACAAACGAAGCTGGTCTGGGTTTAGTCTGAGGCTTTGGACTCGGTGCGTAGCTGTGGTCTCCATTACACAACGAGCACTTGTGTTTTTCACCTCATTTCTTCAGACAGAACATGCACGTGTCCGAGAACAAAGCAGGGGAAACCGCACGCATTTTTTATTTCCCTTTCATGAAATTTTTTACGTGTTGGGTCGAGCTCTGTTGTGGTGCACGCTGTTGCCTTTGTTTCCAGTATGAATTCAAACTTCTAAGACTTCCATGTTCACTGTTGGTATATATAGTTATTTATGGCAAGAATTTGGGTCTCCTGTTTGTTGTGTGCAAATATTGTTTGCTTGGATTCGTTTACAACATTAAGCAAAATGGTGAGGTTTTTTACCATATCACAACTTTGCTCCCTCATCAAAAAGACTTTGAGTTGTTTTTAGCTCCGTCCAAGCTACTGTCCAGAACTTCAAATCAGCACGAACACTGTATAAATAAATGGTCAGTCAAGCTGCATATGAAGCCACTTTGCTGAAGAAGTATGGACCACTATTGTGTCCTCTTCCTACTTGATCCGTCATCATTTTGACTCCAGCTCTAGTCTTTTTTTATTTACAGTATATATCAGGCAACGAGGAAAGCGGCAACTGCCAAATACCTCCAGCGAGTAAGGCAGGTCCTAAGAAGCCGGCTCAACGGCAAGAACAAGGCCCGGGCAATTAACAGCTATGCCCTGCCAGTGATCAGATACCCTGCAGGAATAATCAGGTGGCCAAAGCAAGAGATTCAGACCACGGATGTTAAAACTCGAAAGCTCCTTACCATGCATGGCGGGTTCCATCCCAAATCCAGCACCCTGAGACTGTACGTAAGCCGTAAAGAAGGAGGCCGAGGACTAGTGAGTGTGAGAGCCACTGTCCAGGACCAAACATCCAAACTCCATAACTACATCATCAGAGCCCATCATGGGAGGACAGCCAAACCCCAAGGTCTAAGTGGGAAACTCCTCCAAAGGTGGTGGAGAATGAGCGTGCGAAGATCCTGTGGGACTTCCAGATACAGACCGACCGAATGGTAATGAACCAACCTGACATCGTGGTGGTGGACAAAGGGCAGAGGACAGCCGTGGTGGTAGACAAAGGGCAGAGGACAGCCGTGGTGGTGGACAAAGGGCAGAGGACAGCCGTGGTGGTGGACAAAGGACAGAGGACAGCCGTGGTGGTGGACAAAGGGCAGAGGACAGCCGTGGTGGTGGACAAAGGACAGAGGACAGCCGTGGTGGTGGACAAAGGGCAGAGGACAGCCGTGGTGGTGGACAAAGGACAGAGGACAGCCGTGGTGGTGGACAAAGGGCAGAGGACAGCCGTGGTGGTAGACAAAGGGCAGAGGACAGAGGACAGCCGTGGTGGTGGACGTGGCAATTCCAAGCGATGGTAACATCCGGAAAAGGAACATGAAAAGCTTGAGAAATACCAAGGTCTCAGAGAGGAGCTGGAGAGGGCCTGGAGGGTAAAGGTCACAGTAGTGAGAGGGCCTGGAGGGTAAAGGTCACAGTAGTGAGAGGGCCTGGAGGGTAAAGGTCACAGTAGTGCCCGTGGTGATCGGTGCACTCGGGGCAGTGACCCCGAAGCTAGAAGAGGTTACAGCGGATCCCTGGAACAACCTCGGACATCTGGGTCCAGAAATGTGCAGTGCTAGGAACAGCAAAGATACTGCGCAGAACCCTCAAGCTCCCAGGCCTCTGGTAGAGGACCCGAGCTTAGAGAGGGATAACCGCCCGCGGAGGGCCAAAGGTGTGAGTGTATACATATATATGTATATATACTGTATATATATACACACACACACACACACACTCACACTCTGAGTGGTCCTTTTATTCTACTCTTGTTCTCTCTGCTGTTCTGTTCACATAAACATGAGCTGATAGAGCTGAGTCCTGAGCCCCTGGAGATACTCATGCTATCTTCTTCCTTTTAGAAAACATTGTATCTCATGCAGACTTGTAAGAAAGATCCCTGTGAGGCACTATTTAACGCTTTGGGCGGAGAGCTCATTGTCGAGAGTGAGGGTGGTCTTTTTCTGCCCAAAACAGCTGATCTAAAAAGTGACTGGCCAAAAATGCATACGTATATTCATACGTATATTCATACGTATATTCATACGTATACAGCTTTGACCAGCCTTACTGTCCCTCTCTCCCCATATATCCACACACAACTGTCTAATGAGGCTTTTTGCACGTCTCAATGTCACCAGTATAGCTCCTTGTTCCTCTCATTGACTTTGACTCCGGCTCCTCCTCCGTCAATAAGCCGTCCTGCCCCCTGCTGGCCAGCCCGCACGGGGGGTCTGCCCTCTGGTAATTGGCAGGACGGAACCGGGCGCAGCTCCAGGGAATTAGGCCTGGGGTTTTTAATGTGTGCTTCCATGTGCAAAGGCATGCGCATCTCAGTGGGCACGATTAGGGCCCGACAGGCGCGTTCCGAGAAGAGAGGAGGAGAGGCGGCGTGTCGGCCAATGGCAGAGGGCCGCATGGAGACGCGAGTGATTGAATAACACCGTGGCTTAATGTTGGGTAAGAAAAGCGCACCACAGAGACGGGGTGGGATGAATGGGCTGAGTCAAGTGAACAGCGGTAGCAAAACACTGGATGAAGGCTGATTGCAATGGTAATTTCTTAAAAGAGAGGAGAAAGTAATTGAGGTTGCAGCTATATTGCGTTTGCTCAATAGACAAAGCTGTGAAATTGCTCATTGACAGTGTTTGATAATGTTCTACTTGTTTTCCCTTGTCATCTACACACTCAAAGTAGGGTCTTTATGATGACAACACTTATTTTAGACAATATGCCATATGGTGGAGCAACCGTATAGCAAACAAGGGTCATTGTCAAGGCATCTCAGCAAGAAGGTGGCAGGTCTGACTCCGTATGGAACCCGGTCCACTGTAGGGGAAGTTGCAGTATTTTTAAATTGTAACTTTTCTTGTTACTCGTTATTTCTCTCAAAAAGCAACCTTTTACTTTACTCAGTTACTCTCTAAAGAAAGTCAATTCTTTCAGTCACTTTTTTACTTTACTTTTCCGTTACTTTTGTAGGGAAGAGCATTGTTGTCACAAAAAAATGTATCTCATAATTATGAGATAACACACCAACATCAGTTGCACTTGTTCTCGCTTCAGTCGCTCAGCACATGCCAAGCTTTACATATACTCCACTCTCTCAGCTCTCGCTCGCTCTACCTCTAGGCGCGCTACCGTCACCTTTACACACACACACACACACACACACACACACACACAGAGTTACTGCACATAGGAGATAGACAGATCTAGCGGCCTCTTGCTTCACATACTGTGGAATGAGAACTGACTGATCCGCTGGAGCCAGCAGATACGTTGTCACAGCTGCCCGTGGTAAATAAAAAGTAACGATGCATCGGAGACCGAAAAAGAAACGGTGTTACATTACTAAATTACGTAACGCGTTACTTTTCCCTGGAAAAAAGTAGTTTTGTTACTTTAACACGTTACTTTTTGGCGCGTTTCACCCTACACTGACCGGGTTTGTATGGAGTTTTTATACAAAACGTCCAAAACATGTACAGTACCACAGGTAAAATCCTCCAGCTACAGTAGTCCTGACAAGCCGAGCATTAGCATCCGGCGTCCCGTCCACTGCTCCTGACAGAGGGCCGAGTGGCATTCATGTTGAGTCAAATGCATTTCTCTACGGTTCAAGTATAATTGAAAAGATTTTCTCCCCACTTTTATCAATTCTTTAAGTAGCATGTCAGGTCTTGCCAGGTTTATATTTTAATATTTGATGAGTCAGATCTCAGTGTGTCCCACGCTGTATTTGAAGTTTTTCTCAGCGTCTCTGCACCCCACTTTAACATATAACACGGTTCACCTATTGCGGCCTCGCTGTTTTGTGGATTATTGTGTGTAGGGTATTCTACCGCGCCATGTCTAATTACACTCCAACAACAACATGATATAACCGCTATTGCAACATGACATTGAATTTATTCAAAGTCAGAAGAAAACATTTGTTGCTTGTGTGCACCACAGTGATTAGCTCAGAGGACGACCGTGGTCTTCCCGTAGCCCCGAGTCCTGCTCCTATCCCTCACTGGGGTGTCCTCTGTGGCTGTATTTTGTGTGCTTTTGACAGCTGCAGCAGCGCTGGGAATAACAACCAACAAGATTGATATCTTTGCAATCACACTTCAGGTGGTTTTAAAATTGTATAAATTGTATAAAGTGTGAGGTGAGGGGATTTACAGCCTTAGAACAGACAGAGGATACTTTGCCAATTTCACTTATTGTGGGTTATTTTAAGAACGTAACACCTGTGATAAACAAGGGACCACTGTTCTTCGGACAATGTAAAATGCATTATGGGAAACCGTATTTAACATGATTATGATCTTGTCCCGATCATAGCTCAGTGGCATGACTCCTCCTCTGGCTCCAGACCTGTTTAGGACACTTCTCGGACTGGTTTGGCGTATAACAGCGGGAGAACGGTTATGTCACACGCTGCTGGAGCATTATGTCACTCCAATAGGGCACTAGAGTCATTCTGAGCACTGCGAGGCCCCTGACGCATCACCACATCCCCACATCCCCACGGCCCCCGGACTGCACTGGAGTGTCACCACAACAACGCTGTTCCCTGAGGCAACACTCCCAGCACCGAGAGGAGCTGCTCTGAGGAGCTTTGGACACATGTTATGTTCAGACTGAGATGCGGTATAGACAGTAGGAGGATTTTCTACGTACGGCTGGATCATCAAGACTATTGGTTCTCCTGATCGTCAATCATTCTGGTGACACGCACTCGTCAAATAAGACCAGAGAGTTTTGTTCAAAAAGTAGAGAGGGCAGTTCTTTCCTAAAACTTGTGAAAATCCTCCTATATACCTTTAAGGAAAATGTGAACAAATCGGACCACAATGCTGTCTTTGAGTTCTTAGAAAACATCTTAAGAAAAGGGCCTTGGGAGCCATTATTTGACGGTGTGGGCTGAGAGCTGATTGGCTGAGTGAAGTTGGTCCTCTCTTTACTTTACTGTCTGAAAATGGAATCAAAAGATGTGAGGACATTTGTGAACATATGTGATCAAACCAAACGGTTTTGTGAGGTATTAGAACTGGTTACATGGACTTCAAACCATGTAACTAGTTTTGGTGATTTGAAATGTAGGTATCGCAGCTTTAACCCTTTTCGCGTCTCCTCTCGCGTCTCCGTCTCTCTCTGCTCCTCGCGTCTCCGTCTCTCTGCTCCTCTCTGTCTCTCTCTGCTCCTCTCTCCTCGCGTCTCTCTCTCCTCGCGTCTCCGTCTCTCTGCTCCTCTCTGTCTCTCTCTGCTCCTCTCTCCTCGCGTCTCTCTCTCCTCGCGTCTCCGTCTCTCTCTGCTCCTCGCGTCTCCGTCTCTCTGCTCCTCTCTGTCTCTCTCTGCTCCTCTCTCCTCGCGTCTCTCTCTCCTCGCGTCTCCGTCTCTCTCTGCTCCTCGCGTCTCCGTCTCTCTGCTCCTCTCTGTCTCTCTCTGCTCCTCTCTCCTCGCGTCTCTCTCTCCTCGCGTCTCCGTCTCTCTCTGCTCCTCTCTCCTCGCGTCTCTCTCTCCTCGCGTCTCTCTGCTCCTCTCTGTCTCTCTCTGCTCCTCGCGTCTCCGTCTCTCTGCTCCTCTCTGTCTCTCTCTGTCTCTCTCTCCTCGCGTCTCCGTCTCTCTCTGCTCCTCGCGTCTCCGTCTCTCTGCTCCTCTCTGTCTCTCTCTGCTCCTCTCTCCTCGCGTCTCTCTCTCCTCGCGTCTCCGTCTCTCTCTGCTCCTCGCGTCTCCGTCTCTCTGCTCCTCTCTGTCTCTCTCTGCTCCTCTCTCCTCGCGTCTCTCTCTCCTCGCGTCTCCGTCTCTCTCTGCTCCTCGCGTCTCCGTCTCTCTCTGCTCCTCTCTGTCTCTCTCTGCTCCTCTCTCCTCGCGTCTCTCTCTCCTCGCGTCTCTCGCACCTGCGCTTCTTAAAGATGTTGTCTGATGCGGAGCAGAGTCAGCAGCTAGATTTGTTGTGAGATTATTAAAAGAAGCTGGTTCTCTTATCTTTACAGTATATAAAGTTTGTGGATGTCATTGCATTGGTGATTAAATGCTATTTTATTTGAATAATTATTGTAAATCTGACTTTTAAAGTCAGTGCCTCCCCAATCACAAACCTCACCGCACGTCCCTGGGACCAGATGATGCCTAAATATAGCCTCCTCTGATATGTCAGCGCCCGTGAAGTCCCATGCGCTACTGAGCACAAGCCCTTCATTTGAATAGGGCGCCATCTTGGATCACCGGGGCTTGATATGGACACACTCACAGTTTATACATGTGCTCCTGTTTACACATACAAAGTCTTATTTAATAATAATAATAACAATAATGCATCGGTTTTACATTTTTTGGACACGTTAACTTTCACTCCAAACACGGCGGTGATAAACTACTACTGTAGCCACAGCTGCCCTGGGGCACACTGACAGAAGCGAGGCAACCAGTCTGTGCCATCGGCCCCTCCCACCACCACCAACCATTCACACACACACCAGACTCATTCTAGGCAATGTGGGTGAAGTGTCTTGCCTAAGGACACAACAGCAGTTTGGCACTTTACAGCCGCCCTACTGTGGCTGTGTGATTTGTACTAAACTTGACTTGGTTATTCTACTCCTGGACCTAGGTCACTTGAAGGTGTGAAATATTATATTGGCTCTTTAGCGCCCCCTACAGACTGAGCCAAAGTTTTTCATGGGGACCCAAGCCAACGGATCAGTCAATTCAATTTTACAAACATTGTTCAACGGCTACGGACGCGAATAATGGCGCGGCGGCGCCCGCTCCTTTGCCCGGTGCAGCGAGGGCCGTTCGACGCCGCTTGCGGCTTTAATTATTTCTTTCTTTGTCTTTTTTCTTCTGCACCTTGAATCTTATTTTGACCCCCTGAACATGCATGAAAACTTCATTATTTTATAGGACTAAAAAATGCTACAACAGCGCCACCTACAACAGCCAATTGAATACGCCTGTGGGAGTGGTTCGAGGTCAAGTTAGTTGTAGAGCCATGAAATTTGTTCAAGTCAAGCCATGAAAACAAATTATGGCCACGCCCCCTGACAAACAGGAAGCCGATAAATTTCATTGCAAAATGGAAAAATGAACAGCAATATTACAATAATATTACAATAATACTTTTCACGGCTTGTTTTGAAGTGTTTGTTTTGAATCTCCAGTGCTTCGACACGAAGCTGATATGTCTAAATATTTTCATTTCGCCGCGATGCCTCTAACCCCATCTGAATCATGGTGCTGTTGTTAGCTATTTCCAGTGGTGTCTGCTAGTCTAATGCTGCTTGGCTAATGCTGCTTTCTGCTAGCGTCTGAGCGCCTGAGCCTGCGCTAGCTTTAGCCAACCAGCGCCGGGTTAACCTCAAGTCCCACCAGGGCCCAACAAGTACATAACATGGAGGAGGGACTTTGTTGGGCCCCGTAAAAGTT